CACACACACACACACACACACACACACACACACACACACACACGATTGCCCGGAAATGAGCACACACAGAAGCGGGGGCGGAGGGCCTATGACAATGTGCACATGTGTTGCGATAGCGACTGTATGGCCAAGCCAGATGACCCTCTTGTCTGTCCGTCCGTCCATCCATCGGGAGGGCAGACCACACCCCTGTGACGCACTGTATGGAAGGCACAATTCTGTACTGTGCGGCTTCATGCGTACACATTGGAGCATTCTCTCTCCATCCTCAGTGACCTCACCGTCAGTCTCCGCTGACTCACACGTCCTGGCCAGCACAGCCTGGCCGGAAGTCTTACCTCCTTCCCACCCCCGGGAGTCAGAAAGAAAGGCCGCGGCGCCCTCTGGCGGTCTCCGTAGGCTGCATTCCCCCGGGGTCCTCACACGCACGCGCACACAGCAATCTCCCTAGCGAAGCCTTGCATCTACACCGCCCTCTGGTGGCCACACCGTGAGATTCAGGTTATCCTGGAGCCCGGCCCCCTGCTCCTGGCCTGCCTTGGGGTACCAATACTTGTACCTTCCTTCACCTTCACTAGAGAAGCTCTCCCCACCCCCACCCAGCTCTCTGCCTTCCCCTCTGGAACCCAATACATCGAACTCCTCTGCTTTGGGCACTCCATCACATCCTAACTTACCTGACACCCTGCCCCTCCCACCATCCCAGCTCCTTGGTTCCTTTATTCCATGACCATGTACTGGGCAGCTCCTCCGTGCTGGGAATTTTTATCTCCTGACATCTGAGGGGATTCTGATCTTTAGAAGAGAGTGTTTATTCTAAGAGACCCTGCCCTTCCACACTCTGTCTTCCCTCTTCCTGCCCCTTCCAGTGGTACTGGGGATTGAACCCAGGTCCTTCACAATGAACTATATCCCCAGCTCTTTTTATTTTGAGACAGGGTTTCCATACATTGCCCCCGGCTGGGCTCAAACATGTGCTTCTCCTGCCTCAGCCTTCAGAATTATGAAATTACACGATTACAGGAGTGTTCCACCATGCCCAGCTACAGGCATCTCTCTCTCTCTCTCTCTCTCTCTCTCTCTCTCTCTCTCACACACACACACACACACACACTGAACTTGTTTGGGTCAAGCACATCTTTATTTCCTGCTGGTGTTACTGGTATTCCATCCTGCAAACCCTTTCCCTTTGAGTATCAGGAATGGGTGGGCACAGTGTCTCCTAGAGAAACAGACTGGGGACAATGGCTGGTAGGAAGAGGGTAGGTGAGGCATCTGAGGGCTCACCTGTCACCCTGAGGGAAGGGCCTGGGCCAGGCTTGAGTGGCTCCCAGAAGCCCTGTCAGGCACCATCACAGCTGGCTCTGTCTCTCAGGCCACCACTTCCTGTGGTTCACAAGGTACAGGGTTCAAAGGATGCTGGGAGTGGAGGGTGGTCCTGGGGACCACAGTGTTCATGGCCTTGTTCCCTTGCCAGGAGTAGGGCCAGAAGGAGGGATCAGCAGTGCCTTCCAGTGGCCCGGTAGTCTTTCCTGGTGGTCTGGGATCTTCTCTGGGTGTAGAGTGCGGGCCTGGGGAACACATACACCATCTTTTTCTTTGTGTGTGTGTGTGTGGTACCAGGGATTGAACTCAGGACCTTGTGCTTGCCAGGCAAGCACTTATTCCATTGAGCTATCTCCCTGGCACCCTCACACTCACCATCTTTGCTGGCCTCTTTTCCTTTCCCATTTTCCCAGAGCTCACCCTCCAATGTCCTCGACTCCTGACTTCATTCACCCACTTGCCCTGACTCAGCCCTTAGGAGCCTGGATGTGGCTGTGTGTTCTCAGACACCAGCTTTCGGGGGACTCCCAGGAACCCATCCCCCTCCCATCTCCTCCTCCTTCCCTAGAGGGGCACAGATCACACCAGGGCACTGCCACTGACCAGCACAGCCTCCTCCTCACACTCACAGGCCTTCGGGGCACACAGGAGATGCGAGGAGCCTCCCAGTTCCCGTCCTCCTGGCAGCGGATCAGTGGCAGGTTGCGTTGGACCAGCCCCTCACGGCACCGGTAACGGAGCACAGTGTCCACTTCATAGCGCAGCCGCGGGCTGCCAAACACCTGAGCCAGCGGCAGCTCGGGCGGGGGCCCGCAGGACACTGCAGGGGACACAGTGAGGGCCTGGGAACTTGACACTGTGATGACAGCTCTCAAAATTTGGAGGAGGAGGAGGAGAAGAAGGATGAGGAAGAGGAGGAGGAGGAGGAGGAGGAGGAGGAGGAAGAGGAAGAGGAGGAAAGGAATGGCAATGGCATTACACGACACAGGGGATTCTGAGAGGCCCACTGAGTCCTCCCCGCCCCCTCCTCCCCGTGCCTCACCTAGCCCCATCTTGCAGGTATAAGACAGGTGGTAGTTGCAGGGGACGTCGCTCCACTGTCCCTGGTCGTGCCACACCATGACCACACAGTTTTCTCCAGACAGGAAATAGCTGTCAGGTTGCCCAGGGTTCCAGTTCTCGTACAGCTGGGGAGATGGAAGTAGTGAGGAATCCCAAAGCTAACCCCCGGGAAGGGCTCAGAGGATGTGGGAAGGGCTGTGGGGGACCTCACAGAGGGAAGGCTGGGAGTCCTGGGTTGGTGACAATCAGGAAAGGGAAATGAGAGGGCTGAGGCTTGGGGGACAGAGAGCAGGAGGTTTAGAAAAGAGGAAAGGAGCTGGCGAGATAGCTCAGCAGACGAAGTGCCTGCTTTGGCAAGCTCAGGGACTAGGGTTCGATCCCCAATCCCGCACGCTATGCCAGCCCCGTCCCTGGGGTGCACTGAGCCGGCAACCGAGTCCAGGCTTGGTGGCACATGCTTGTAATCCCAGCGCTGGAGAGGCTAAACGCAAGAGGATCACAACGAGTCTGAGCTGTACAGTGAGACCCTGTACCAAATACATATATGGAGAGAGAGAGAGAGAGAGAGAGAGAGAGAGAGAGAGAGAGAGAGAACAGGAAGGCAGGAGGGGCCCCTGGAGAAGAGAGACAGGGCCTGGGAAAGAGGATGGGGTCACTATCGTGGGGAGCAGGGTCTCTCACCAGAGGGACGCCATCAGACCACAGGAAGTCACCCTCGATGGTCCTGTCATTGAGCCCGATCCACTGGTACTCCCGGTAGCGATCTGGAGAACCGCGGGCAGGGACAAGCACGCAATGAGCGCTGCTGCCAGTAGGGGCGGTCGTTCCCGCGGCCGGAAACTCGGAATCCTGCCAGGGCTGGGACCCGGGCCTCGCGCGCATCCCGGGCACGAGGTCCCCAGCCCTCCCGCATCTCAGGCCGCTCCCTCCAACCTCTGCATGAGGAGGCCAGGGTGGGAAAGAGGAGAAACCCTGGCAGGGCAGGAAAGGGACGGGAAAGAGCTGATCCTCCCAACCACAAGGGGCACAGGAAGGCTGGGAGGGCCCCAGGAAGGCTGGGAGGACCCTACCCCCCCAGCTGAGGCCACCCCACCCCACTGCGCCCCGTGGGAGGAGGAGAGGTGGGAAAGGTGCGCGAGTGGGCGGTGGAGGCGGGGTCGTCCCGGGGCGCACTGTTGATGAAGGCCTGCTCCTCGGGCGTGCGCACGCTGGCCAGGTGCGCGCCCAGCCTCCGGCACTGGCTCTCCGCGTCTTCCCAGCTGCGGCGAGCTGCGAAGTGCCTGTAGCAGGCGCCCTGGAAGGTATCCCAGCCTGGGCTGCAGGAGCGGAGTCCTGGATACAAAGGGCGGGATCTCAGGCTGGAGGACCCCCGGACCTCTTGGGAAAGTACTGCCTTCCTGCCAGCCTTGAAGGTCAGAGGATGGGACTTGGGGGGGGGGCTGTTGAGAGCTGGAGGGACTCAATACAATGCTTCCTCTGAGCACCAGACGGGTACAGTGGGGGTCTGGGCCGCTGCAACACCCTCGTCTAGAGAAGGGCTGTGTCCTCCTTTCGCTGCAGGGAAGGCCACGTGTACTGACTGCCTCCTCTAAGAGACATTCTGGCTCCTTGTGACAGACAGGACATGAGGGAAATGGCTCAGGGAAACTGGGTAACTGCCTAAGATAGGGTTTCATTCATGACAGATCCAAAACCAATGCCTGTGTACCTACCTCCCACCCATAACGTACAGTGAGGCAGGGTCCAAGCTTCGGATCTCCCGCCCCCCAAGTCCTTTAATAATGCCTCTTCTGAGCAACTCACCAACATCGCACAGGTCTCCCCCATAGCCAGGCAAACACAGGCAGCGGACCCCGTCTTCCTCCTCCAAGCACGTCCCACCATTGTGGCAAGGGCTGGGGATGCAATCACCTAAGGGAGGAGAGAAGTGAGCGGGAGAACAGTGACCCCAGCTCTGCAGCCTGCACCCTCCAGGGAAAGCCCAGAAGCACTCCCTGTCCTCCTCAGAGCCTGCCACTGGCCACAGTCCTGCCCTGAGTTCTGGGCCTCCCCCCTCCATCATTGGCTCAGCCCTGCGCAGGTCACTGTCAGTGCCACCAGTGGGGGCACAGTCCAACAAGAGTGGAAGGGAGGTGGCACTGGCAAAGACACTAAGCTGTCGGCCATGAAACCAAACTCCTCCCTGGCTGCTGGCTTCTCTGTGTGACACTGAGCAGGCCTGGAGTTCGGTCCCCCCCCCTTTTTTTTTGTACCGGAAGTTGAACTCATGACCTTGGGCTTGCCAGGCAGACACAGTACTGCCAAGCTATATCCCCAGCCTCCTCATTGTTTTTTATGCCAGGTCCAGCTCAGTCTTGCATAATCTAGGTGGGCAGGGAGCATTGGAGGAGAGAAGAGAGTTGCTATAGCAACAGTGAGTGTGGCTCCTTTCCTGCTCCTGGTACCTGATGTGGTGCACCCAGGTGAGCACTAACCATGAGCTCTCTCCTGTCCACGGACACAGTCAGCCAGCACAGAAGTTAGTGGAAAAACCAGCCAGAGTTCCTTGCTCAGTGCCCTGTCTTCTGTCGCTCACAACTGTCCCAGAGTAGCCTTCATACAACACCACCCAACTCACTGCCCACTAACATCCGCTTTCTCTTTCCTTTTTTGCACTAAATATTGAGCCCAGGGCATTGTGTATGCTAGGCAAGTGCTCTGCCACTGAGCTGCATCATGCCTGGCTACCCTGCCCAGACTGGCCTTGAACTTGTGAGCCTCCTTCATCAGCCTCATGAGCAGCTGGGATTATGAGTGCGTGCTACCATGCCTGGCCCGTGTTGCTTTGTATCTCACAGACTCTTCCTTGTGAACTGGCTTCTGCACACTCCACTAGGGGCCTGTGGCAGGTTCTCTAATTGGACTGCATCTCACTTGCTTCTGCTCTCTTCCAGACAATTCTCTGAGACTAATCTGTCCTGCCCTGCCCTGGGCCTGCAGTCTGTCCTCTGTGTTTGGCTCCGCTGGGTAGGCTACCTGCCTTCTGTGGACTTTCTCCGGACCCTTTGTGAGGAGGTGGCTTCTCTGAGGCCCTGCCTGGGTGGTGGAGTTGCTGTCAACTTCCATTCTTCTATTTTGATACAGGGATAGATGGTTCCACGAGCCACAGTGCAGTCAGGGCCCTCAGTCAGAATGAGAGGTAAAATCACCCCCAGGCAGGACCGTCTTCCCCTGGAACCAAGGCCAAGGCCCACAGTGCTTCACACTGGCCTGGAGGCAGGTTCCACTGCCTGGTGGGGATCCAAGAACAGGGGTGCGGAGAAGCTGGAGTTGACTCAGAGAATTTCTCCTGGATGACCTCTCCACTTGAGTAAAGTGGATTAGGTTTTCCACTCACGTTGTCTTCTCCCCTGGCCAACAGTTTCTTCCCAGCTGGTAATGCCCCACCCCATGTTTCATTTAACCCACCAAGAACTAGGCCCAGCAGTGGTTGGGGCCGTAACCCTCCTACTTCACATTCTCCTACTTCCTCTTGTCCCCACTCTCCTTCCTGTCCAGCCCTCTAAGCCTGGGGGATAAAGACTCTCAAATTCATTGTTTCCCCTGAGCCCAAGCTATAGTCTCATCCCTGGCTGTGGGTGGCTGGACCAGACCCCAGGATGAGCAGAGTAGGGTGAAGGGACTCTTCTTCAGGGACAATCTTATCTGCATTCCTTCCTTTCTTTGGGCTTTTCCTTCTCCCCTGGTAAAGTTGCAGGCCAGGGAACCACTAGCTCCTCCCTCCATGCTGAGTAACTAAGACCCTGCAGAGACCTCCAAAGGTACAGCTTTTTCCACCAGTCCCTTCCTCACCCTTTGCCACACTAACTTCAAATCCAGCTTAGTGAAGAGCCACAGGTGAAATGGGTAAGTGTTGGTGTGAGCTGGGGACCCCCAGTTCTCCTGGGTCATCTCTGTGGGGCTCCAGGAGCCTCCACTGGAACTCAGAGCCTTCTGTGAGTAGGCAGCCTTCTCTTAGGCTCCAGAACCTAACTCCTCCTCCTCCTCCTCCTCCTCCTCCTCCTCTCTCACCCTTCATTCAAATCTTCCCCAGCATTACAGACTGAGATCCTTCAGGTCTGGGGAGAGTGAAACCTTTCTCCCTGGAGTGGTCATTAGTGAGGAGAGGTGTGGATAGTGGGCGAGAGTTAGACATTGTCCCCTTGCTGGGATGAGGAGCTAAGGCCCAGATGCCAGGGAAATGACTGTACTCTGAGAAACTTCCCAAGTCACTACTCTGTACAGCAGCCAGCAAGGGTAGTGGTGGTCAGGAATCAGTGTATAAGAAGCACATTGCCCCGTAACAGCTCTGTGGGTTTCTCATCAGGAACACGGGACTACACTTCAGGTAGTGTTCCCCAGGCTGAGCAATGGCGTCTCCCTGGAGCAGTGTGCACAGTCCTGTGTGGGAACTTGGTAGTCAGGAGGGAGCAGGGACAGCACTGGGGTAGGCTGGAGTCAGTAGGGACTGTTAGACTGCTAGGATTGGTGCAGGCTGAAGGAGAAAAAAGAAGAGGGAAACAGAGAAAGTAGGAGAGACATGGAGCCAAAGAAAAATGACAGAGATCTGCCCATGACACAGACCAAGGAATGAGAGGGAGAAGGAGACAGAGGTGCCAGAGTTTGGTTACAAAGCGGTTTAATAGACATTTATTTCCAAGGCTTGTTTTCCATGAAACAATAAAAAAAAATACTTCACAGAAGTAGTGCTTTAAGGCTCTGTGGGGTGAGGGGTGTCTTGGACCCCAGGGGTCAAGGGGCGGGGATAGACTCCCAGGCTTCCCTGAGATAGGCCAGTGGGAGGCAGCTGAAGGGGACAGCACACGGGGGAAGAGGGTTGGGGGGGAGATGGGCTGGCCCCAAAAAGCAGTGGTAACCCTGAAGAGGCACCCTGAAGAGGCATGAGGACATTGTGGGCCAATGGGCCACAAAGGTCACAGGTGGTCAAGGGTGGGGCTGGAGTCGCAGAGTGAGGAACAGAGAGCTGGGATGAAGTCATAAGTGGGAATCCAAGCCTGGAGGCCCGGAAGCAGAGACAAGTGAAAGAGTGAGGGCAGAGGACAGTAGTCTGGTTACAGTGGAGTAAAGGACTACAGGTCAGGTGGTCCAGAGCTGTACAGGAAGAAGGAGGAGCACAGACAGGAAGACTGAGCCTTGGGCAGAGTTACCTGATGAGGGGGCCACGGCCACTCCACCTCGGCTGGCACCATCCGTGGGCAGCACGGGCGGGGCCTGCACAGAAGTCCCTGCTGGGGAAGTTCTTCCAGAGTTCTCTTCCAACGGGGCCTCCACGTCCCTGGAACCCTCAAGGGCTGGTGTGGCACGAGTCAGGGATGGAGCATCTTCAGAGCTCCCTGCTTCCTCACTCTCTCCTTGAGGGACCCCAGAGAGTTCAGGGCCCCCAGTTTCCTCTCCCTCCTCTCTTGCCCCAGTTGGAGTGAAAGGGGACGAGGACAATAGACTCTCCTCTTTGGGAGTGGGGAGAGTTTCAGTAAGTGGCCCACGGACCCCTGGGGGACTAGGAGCTTCTGACTCTCCATGAGGAGGTGAGGATGTGTCAGGCTGCATGACTGAAGATGCCTGCGAGAATGAGTCCTCTGACTCTTCCGTGGGGACAGGGCTGCTGAGTTCCTCTGGCCACTCCCACACATCCTCCTCTTCTACGTCCTCCTCTTCCTCCTCCTCTGTCTCGTCTTCGTCATTGTATTCTTCTTCCTCCAATGCCTTGTCTTCTTCTTCCAAGGACCCCGTGGGTGGTACATCGGATGGAGTTTTGAACTCTGGGCAAAGCACAAAGAGTTCAGCACCAGGGACAGCACCCTCCAGAGGTCAGGAAGAGAGGCCAGAGGAGAAAAGCTGGGGTACTGGATGGGAATCTCCAGAGAGAAGAAGCCCACCCTAGAAAGAAGCAGCCTTTGCTCCACACTGTAAAGACTGTAACCTACCTGGCCTGTTCAGAAAACAGCACTGTCAGCTGTCTTTAGCTTAGGGAACATGCTGTTGCCTCTCCCTCTCTTAGTCTATCTCTAGTCTAGTTTGGGTAGGCAAGGCAGAGAAGGGCCAAGACAACTCTCTTTGCCAGGAGGCAACCTCTTAGCCCAAGTATCATCAGACTCAGAGAGTTGGGAGTGGACTTTACTAGAAAAGTGAACTTGGGGCAGGCACAGGAGAGATGCCCAGCACCACTGAGCTACCAAGAAAAACAAGACAGAATCATGCCAACAAGTAACCCAGCATCCACCTGGCTTTGCCCCTTCAGCTTCAGCTTCTCTCCAGTGGCCTCCTTGGGGTAAGGGTTATGAGTTACCTAGGAGTGTCCTTGGGGCCTCTGCTGAATCCTCAGGAGTGGAGCTTCCACCTCCCCCATCTTCCATGATGGGGATGGAATAGATGGCTCCTCGGGACTCACTCTCCATAGCTTCTGGAGGCAGCTGCAGCTCTTCCAGGGTCTCAGTCACTGTGACAATGGCATCTAGCCCATCAGAGGTTGGGTTGGAGGCCTCAGGGCTGGCAGAAGGATGGGCAGAGTCTGCAGCAGGAGGGAAATTCCTGTGGGAGGCTGATTAGGTAGGTGGTCCCCCAGGTCATGGTCTGCATGTGAAGCCTCCAGGTTGGCCTGATGGAGACCCTGGAATTTTCTCAGTTCCCTCTCTGCTTCCCTAGGGAGCACTCAGTAAGACCTGGGGAGCACCCTAGAACTTTGTCACCCCTTCCTCAAATGTTAACCAATGACCTATTATGTCTCCTGTCGTGCGTTCTCTGAGCATTAAGGATACAGTGCAGAGTTAAATAGGAACCTTCCTGTCTTTAAGAAAATTTATATTCCAGGTAGAGATAATAAGCAAATAAGCAGATTTTATAATGATTTAGTGTAAAGAACAATTAAACAGAATTAAGAGACAGTGTAATGGGAAGTGCTGCTGCAGAGGGGTCAGGAAAGGCTCAGGTGAGAGCTGTTCCCTTGAGGGAAGGACAGAAGCTAAAGGATGGATGGAGTGGTCTCAGTGCCTTGGAGACCTGGGCTTGGGTCAAGATGCCAGGGACCCCAGTGACCCCAAGCTTCTTGGCATGAAGGGTACAGGTACCATCCCCATAGGAGAGCTAAAGGACAAAGTGCAGGAAGAACTTGTGACAGTCAGTACTTGAGGGTCCCAGGGTTGACCCAAAGAAGGGGCTGCCTCCTGGGGGATCATCTCTTTCCAAATACCAGGTTAGGATAGATTACCTTGTCCTCTGCAGCAAGCCCAGGAATCAAAGGTGGAATGGGGCTAAGGAGAGCACTCTGACAGCACTCTGAGCTCAGTCAGGTGAGACAGAACAGCATGTCTCTGTTGGGTCATCTGCTCCAGTGAGCCTGGTTCCATACCAGACACGCTGGCCCCTTTGGAATTGGTGCTGGTCCTCCACCTGCTCCCCCTAAAGTCATGCTCCCTTCCCTTCCACTTCTTCCAGGAGAAAGTGCTTGGCCCACAGCCTGTCCTTGAGGTTCTGCTCCCTGTGGGACAGTTGTGTCTATCCATCAGTATGTGGTGGTTAAAATCTGATGTAGGTTCCAGAACCCTCTTGAGGGCCTATGATTAACTAGAACTTGAGAGGGGCCCTCACTGGATCTGGAGGAAGTCAGTCACCGCTGCTCTGCCAGCAAACGGATGGGCAATGGGCACTTCTGCAGCAGCCCAGTGAAGACGCAAGCATGGGCTACTGGGCAGGCTGGAAAGAACATGCAGGGAGGTGACCACTGCCCAAGCCCACCTTGCTGAGACCAAGCTTTGGGGCATGCCTAGAGTTAGAGTTGTCCTGGATGACAAGCCGGGCACTACCTTCAGGCAGATGGCAGGGATCCCAGAGCACCTGATCAGAGCTGGGCTGGGATCTGCAGTTCTGCAGGGAGGGGCTCACCTCGGAAGCAGTAGACATTGAAGCGGCTGTGCTTGTTGGGGAAGCCCGTCTGGTTGGGGAAGAGGAAGAGCGTCTTGACTCCAGGCAGGCCCCCACCACAGCGCTGGCTAGGTGTGATGATGGGGTAACGCACACTGCCATCGGCCAGCCAGCCTGGGCTGCATCGGTCCAGTCCACCATCCCAGGCTGCATACAGTTGGCCTGTGGTGGCAATCTCTGCACCGCGATCACGGCAGTATTCCCGGGCCTCCTCCAATGTCAGCTTGTCTGGAGGAGCACCTAGGAACAGCTCTCCTGGGTAGGGAAAAGGAGGCTGTCACCAGGTAGGCAGTAGCCCCTCCCACCTGGGTCTCAGGCTCCTCACCTATGACACTAGTCAGTGACCCTGCCTTACAGGATCAAAAGCTGCACAGACCCTCAGGGTAAATATCAGCGTTCAGAAGAATGTGGCCCAATGTCCCCATTCTGCAGAGTCATGCACAGTCTGAACAGCAGGTAGCAGGAGAGAGAAAACTCAAGCTTGGCATCTTGCCACTTGTCTGAAGCTTTGGTCATGAATTTGCCTCTATGACAGTGTTTGAAGAGAGGGATGCTGGCTGTCTCCTTAGCCCTGCTTCCTCCCATAAACTGGTGAGAGACAGTGAGCTCCAGTGGAGGCCAGGAGGACCATGGAACACTAGAGAAGGTGTTTGTCTGCTGGCAACCCCTTGTTCCCAATCACCATTTAGGTCTTCAGCATAACAGTACACATCATAGAGGTCATCTGGGTCCACCACTCCATAGTTCCGGACCCCAGGGAAGCCATCCATGTCTCCATAACAGGCCTCTCGTGGGGTCTGGATGGGATACCTGGGAAGGGAGGACAAAGACAGTACCAGTATTGTCCCCAGTGAGCCATCCCTTGTTGGCCCTAGGCACTCATACTGCTCTTGTCAGCCTGGCTGTCATCTCCCAGGTAGGGTTTCACCCAGCCTCAGACTCCTTCCTTGCCAGAAATGGGAGCCCAGGGATCCACCCTGACCCAGCAGGCATCCTGCGCCGAGCAGAGGACCTAGCTACTTCAGAGATCCCAGGAGCCCCTGGTCCGTGGCCGGCCTACCTCACAGTCTGGTCGGACAGCCAGCCGGCATCGCACTGCTCATACCCCCCGAGGTAGGCGGCGTAGAGCTGTTCAGGTGTGGCAATGCGAGCGCCTATACGGGCGCAGGCTTCCCGGGCCACAGCAAAGGAGAAAGCATAGCGGGCAGAGCCCTCGCGGTAGAGAAAAACAACCCCTAGGGCAGAGATGACTCCTGAGTGTGTGACCACCAGCGCACGGATATCCCCTTCCCGCCCGTCACACCTCTGAACCAAAGGGTAAAGGACTGAGGGTCACTGAGGTCACTCTACAGCATGAGGGACTTCAACTAGAATGTAGGTAAGATTGCTTTTACCTGGTATGTGGGTATGTGGGGGCTGCATGTGGGTTTTTTGTTGTTGCTTTGTGTTTGTTCTTTCAGAAGATTGAAGGTCTCAGGTGTGTGTCCATGAGTTAGATTCTCAACCTCTTTTTAAAGTTTTTTTTTAAAATTTTATTCATTTATGTGTGTGTGTGTGTGTGTGTGTGTGTGTGTGTGTGGCCAGCTCAGCCCACCAGGGGGCGGGGCTGGCTGGCATGTGGTGCTGGGGATTGAACCACAGTCCCTGTGCTCTGCCAAGCTTGTTCTAAGTAGGTGCTTTAGACCACTGAACCATCTCACCAGCCCTCTTTTTAAAGTTTTATTTTGAGACAAGATCTAAGTTGCCCAGCTGAATTTGGGATCCTCCTGCCTCAGCCCTGGTTAGCTGGAATTCCAGGCAAACATTCCTCACTTCCTTTTCTTTCTTTCTTTTTTTTTAAAATTTTATTTATTTGTGTGTGTGTGTGTGTGTGTGTGTGGCCAGCTCAGCCCACCAGGGGGCGGGGCTGGCTGGCATGTGGTGCTGGGGGATTGAACCGTGGTCCCTGTGTTTGCTAAGCTTGTTCTAAGTAGGTGCTTTAGACCACTGAGCCATCTCACCAGCCCCCTCACTTCCTTTTCAACTTGTCCAGCTGCATCTGCTTCCCCATTGAGCCCTAGGGCTCCCAGGACAGGAATGCCCTCTCCTTCAAGACCTCTCTCCCTCACTCACCCTTGACCTTGACCTCCACAGCGTCGCTGCTGTCGTCAATGCCGTGCTGGACCTCGCAGCGGTAGATGCCCGAGTCGTTGGGTCGCAGCTCGCTCAGCACCAGGGAGACATCCGTGAGCGAGGCCGGGTAGGCAGGCAGCGCCACGCGGAACCGGTAGGCCTCGCTCACCTTGACGCGCAGCCCGCGTGCCACCAGCACCTCGGTCTCGCGACCGCCGGCCAAGAAAGTCCACTTGACCCGCGGGGAGCCTGGTGCGGCTCGGCCCCGCGGCCGCAGGGCATGGACGTGGCACGGGATGGTGAGAGCGCCGCCCAGCACGCCCTGAAGCGGTGCGGCGTGGGCCCCGGCGATGCGCACGCGGAAAGCGCGGTCCTCTGTGGGTAGGTGGGGACGCGGGGACGAGGGACTGCTACATTCGCACTCCCCTGCTGCGCCGCTGTGTGGCTTCAAGGCTCCCAGGACCGGAGTCTTCCAGCCTAGCCAGGGCCTCCTGACCCCCACCACAGCCTCTCAGGCCCCTCCCTGATATTCTCAGGCCCATCCCTGGTCCTCTAGCCTGTCCTCACAGTCACCCAAGAGGGGTGAACGTCCTCCGGGTGTCTCCTCTCCTCAGCCCCATGCTGGCCTCGTGCTCCGCCCCATGCACCCTGCCTTGCCCTGCCCCCCAGCCTACTCCCTCTAGCACAGCCTGCGGCTGCCCCTTCTCCTTGTCTGGCCTGCCCCCAAGGATACCCTCGGGAAGAACGTCAGGGGAGACACCCAGGACACCTGACACTATATGGTGTTGCTTACCCGAGCTGTCCAAATCCAAGAGGTCAGCTTCGAGAACCTGGGTCAGGGCCAGGGCTACCATCAGAGCTAGGAGCAGTGGGGCCATGTTGCAGCCTGGGGAGGAGAGACCAGGCTGGACTTCAGCCACGACTTCCTTCTGCCCACCACATCTCATGGGTTCAGCCCACACATGGATGGTTTCTGATCCCTGTTTCCGTCAAAATATTCCTCCTCAAAGCTGAAACCCCACATCCTGTCAACTCACTGTGTGACCTAAGCAAGTTCTTACCCTCTCTGAGCCTGTGCTTTCTTTCTTCCTCAGGGTCCTTAGGTAGCCAGGGTGGAAAAGGGCTACCAACTACCATGGACACAACTCCACAAGTTGGGATGAGGTTATGTGCTTTGCCAGTGCCTTGTATCAGCCAAAACCCTTACAAAGGCACAACAGGAGGCACACAGTAGGAGGTCAGTAAATGCTTAGAGCAAGAATGGTGGGTGCTATTATATAGTAGGACACAATATCAGTGGGTTCCACATTCCTACATTCAACCACCTGCAGATTAAAGTATTCAGAGAACAATTATGTCTATACTGGACATGTACAGACTTTTCAGTTATTATTCCCTAAACAGTATAACAACTATTTACATATCATTTACATTGTATTGGGTACAATTAGAAAGCTAAGCATGGTGGCACAAACTTATAATCCCAACACTCTGGGAGGCTGAGGCAAGAAGATTGCAAGTTCAAGCCCAGCCTGGACAGCTTATTGATTTAATGAGACCCTATGTGAAAGAAGGAAAGAGGAAGAGAGAGAGACAGAGAGAGA